AAACAAACTGTTAGTTCCGCCCATATCTCCGCCCACTTTCAAAACAAACTGTTAGTTCCGCCCATATCTCCGCCCACTTTCGAAACAAACTGTTAGTTCCGCCCATATCTCCGCCCACTTGTTGAGCTAAGGGGAATGTCGCCTCAACAGCAGGAGGTCAGTTGTGGAGAGGAGCTCACGGAGGTCAGCGCAGCTCCCCGCATGATGTAAACTACATTTTCTAGTTTATTTCCATGAGCGAAGCTGTAAAAGTGTCCACACCGACAGAATGTGGAAACCCAGCCCCGCCGCGGGACTCAGCCTCTTCACAGCGGGACTCCTCGCCGCCGCCTGTCTTCTGGTGACCCGGATGCTGGTGGTCACCGGCGGACACCCGACTGACACTCCACCTGCTGCCGGGGCGAGCTCCAGCGTTTTCTCAGCTTACATCAGGAGACTCACCCGGGAGAGGAGACATGTGAGCGGCCCCCCACGGAGCAACACTCCCCCTCCACGGGTGGAGCACCTCTCCCAGGCAGACGTGTTCATCGCGGTGAAAAGCACCGGCAGGTACCACAGGCCGAGGCTGCAGCTGCTGCTGGACACCTGGATCTCCAGGAGCGCGCAGCAGGTGAGTGTGGCTGCACACCTGCACTGGTGACACCGCCTCTCTGGAACAAAACCCACTGAAATATAAAGAAAGAACAGGAAGTTTGCACATGTGGAGCGACACTGGAGATTTCACGTGATGGATGTGAGAAAACCACAAAGCAGAGTCATTAGAGAGGCTCGTTTGATCCACAGCTGCAGGGACAAGTTCAGTTTTTAACATGTTTAAAGGGCTGTCAGGTCCACATGCCACTTTTAGTATAAAATCCTGGCACACAGGCTCAAACAGATGCACACCAGCTTGTTGAAGGGGTTTAAAAGGATCAGATCAAAAAAGAAGAGCGAGACAACATCTCACAACTTGATGCACACCAGAGGCATTAAAGTTACATCTAAAGGTCAAGTTTCAGAAGAAGGACTGCAGTTTGCAGCATTGACCTCATGTAAAGTAATGTTTTTAATATTTAGATCAGTTTACGTCTAATATATAGGGTTATTCAACTGGCGGCCCAGGAGCCAAATCAGGGCCACGGATGAACTCCATTCGGCCCACCTGTGGGTTCATTTTTAAATAAAACTAGATTTTAAGCCATAAAACTTAATGACAATAACTGCTGGATGTCCGTCCCCTGAGCTCTTGGCTTTCAGTAACTGTGGCCCCCTGAGTAATTTAGTTGAATTGCTTTAAATCCATCTTTTTCATGTTTGTAGGCCAAAATGTGCTCAGCTGTCACGTCAAAGCCCAAATGTTTTTACTCTTTACGATAAAGAAATAATTTTTAAAAATGACTTTTCTTGTCTTGTCTTGTTTTGTCACTGCCTAAAAACTCCACCCTCATTCATTTTTCATTGTTCCAGTTGGTGTTTGTGATCAAAGGATGAATAGATTTGCCCTGTCAGCTTGATTGAGAGAAAGCGTACAGGAATATTTCAGATCAAATGCTGCTGCAGCGTTTGGGTCTGAACCACGATGAGTCAAAGATGCATCTGTTGCTGTAAAACACGTGGGCCGGCGGTGGACTGCTCCCAGCAGCTTCAAAGCTCCTCTAACCAAAGGCAGACGTGACTGTGGACGGCGCAGCCAGCGGTTCGATTCCTGTTTTAAAACTCCAGTGTGTGTTTTAGGAAAAGCTGTGAATGTGACCCATTCGGGGAGGGGGGGGGGGGGGGGGATCAGCTGGGTTTTGGTTCTGTGACACTACTCTCACTTTACCTGTTTCCCAGACACACCTTTTCCAGACTGCTGAGTAATGGAAACGCAACACACACTCTCTCACCTTCACCCTGGGAACTCGCAGCGTTTCTCATGGGAAGTGAAACATGTGCCTGATCGCAGGAAGGAGCACACGTCACTTTCTCCCGCCTCGGTGGTTACCGTCACTGTTTCCTCTGTTGTAGGAGCTCAACTCATATTGACAGACCCCCCACCACCACCACCACCACCTCCTCTTCAAACCCACACTTCCTCCTCTTCCTCATCCTCCGCCAGTCATACGCTGGCACACAGGCTCAGCAGCTTTTTGAAGGGGTTTAAAAGGATCAGATCAAAAAGAAGAGAGAGACTAATATGTATGAGAGACCATGACAGTGATAGTCCAGATGAACAATTAATATCTTACCTGGTGCAGATAGCTCTTTGAATGAATCTCAGTTTGGAGAAATAGCCTTTTGATTCTCATGGTAAGGGTAGGCCTGTCGCATTAAACAATAAATCAATTAATCGCATGATAAATGAAAGTTATCGACTGCATTTTCATTTATCGGCTTTATCGTTTCTTCGTCTCTCTCTTTCTACTGAAGACACTGGATGATAAAAAGCTCAACTCAGATGCTCTTCACTGACCCCTTCCCTTTTTCTTTTCTCTTTAAAATCTATTTTAACAACACAAAATCGTGTTTTTGGATTGTTAAAAGCAGCTAAGCTGATAAGGTAAGCTATTGCCATCCGGTGGTCAAAAAAGGTATTACACACAAAACAAATTCACCAACATTTATACTTAAATTTGACAAATTTTGAAAATTGAAATCATATTATTGTTGATCACAATAATTTCTGAGACAATCGCTCAGCAAAATTTATTATCGTGACAGGCCTAATAATGGGTTGCTGCCACCACACAACAGCCCCGACCTGTAAAATTATTAGTCCCTCACTGTATTGCGGTTCATGTTTCGCGGCTTCACTATATTGCAGGGTTTTTTAAACCCCATTTTTTATATTGTGTGTGTACTGTACATGCTGTGCACTACTATGCATTCATCTCATCGTCATCATCTTCATCGCGATCACCAAATTGTTTAAGAGCATATGAAGTGTTTATAAGAGTGGGAAGGGTTTGTGAAGCCTTACGTATACATACAGTGTTTCCCCTACCATTATAAAAGCAGGGTGCCCCGCCTACTGAACTGAACTACACGTCAAACCGAAACCCCGCCCCCCAACCCCCATCGGCACTGACGTAGCACTAAGCTAGCCGTGCACAATACAGGCACGCTAGCTAAAAAGCTAAAGGCAGTGCTCACGCTTCCTCTTCCTCACGCGGAACCCTAACGCTGACAACCCCCCCCCCCCGGCAGCTCAGATGTCTCTCCATCTTCCCCCCACCCCACGACAAAAATCACAGATGAGATGAGCGCCTCGCCATGGCAAATTATCTAGGGGAAACACTGATATACATCCATCCATCCATTATCTTTACCCGCTTATTCCATTTTGGGTCACGGGGGTCGCTGGTGCCCATGTCCAGCAGTCACTGTGCGAGGGGCGGGGTACACCCTGGACGGGTCGCAAGTCCATCACAGGGCCACATAGAGACAAACGAGACAAACAACCATTCACTCTCTCATTCACACCTAGGGACAATTTAGAATTACCAATCAGTCTAACATGCACTGATATACATAAATAGTAAAAAAATAAAATTAAAATAACGCCACTACTTCTCCAGAACGTAACCCCCGCGATAGGTGAGGGATCACTGTACACTATTATTCTGGTAGAAATATTTGTGATTTCCTCAGGAAGTGCCTCAGGTTGTACTGGAAGTGCTACAGCTAGCTGGACAGAACTGTATGTAAACAATCATGTAATATGAAACTAATGTAGAAGTTTTGACACTAGAGTTATGATAGAAATCCATTAGGCTGCTCAGACTAGCTGTTAGCGTGTCAATCCATTCAGAATGAAACTCTTTGTCCAAAGAGGTCATTCAAAAAGCTTTCTACTGCAGGTAAGATATTGATTTTTTTTTTACTTTAGAGTATTATTGTAAGTTTGTCCCTGTAAGCTTGGAACATGTGAAATAAAACAACCACTGCAAAGACGTACTGTTAACCTTTGCTTTACTTTAGTTATATTTAAAAGGACATTGGAAGAACAAAACTCAAACTGCACATCTTTTGAAATTAAAAACACGTCACTTTTCAAGTCATTACTCGTTTTACTTTATATTAGATCCTCTCTTATACCTGTTGGTTGCAGATTAAAGACAAAGACTCTGAGCAGCACTGCAGCATTCATTATGTATCATTATTAGTAATCTATTAGTTGCATGTCAATAAACAGTTTACAATGATGTCAGTCAGAGAAAATCAAACCATCTGTCTAAGAAGTACTAAACTACAAGAAAGCACATAGTCATGCTTTCAAAATCATTAGAAGGCCACGTTCCTGTAGGAAAATCTGGCACACACTGCCTCTATTAGAGCTGTAAATAAGCTCATATTGAACCTGAGGAGCCTGAACTCGTCATTGTTTCATTTTAAATCGATTGTCGTGGAATACAAAGACAAAATAACATTTGTCAGACAGCTGTGTGTGTGCACACACTGTGTGTATGTGTGCTCACTTCCTGTGGAAAATAATGAGGTCTACTCTGCTTCCTGAATGCACACTGACCCTCAGCCCCATCCCTCAACACAAACACACTCTCTGCTGCTTGTTTGCATCCAGCTGCTGATGGACGGGGTGTGTGTGTGTGTGTGTGTGTGTGTGTGGGGGGGTTACCTTTGACTTTTGGTCTCTGGCCAGTGTCCAAGAGTCAAGGATTCAAGTTTCTTTATTGTCATTCGCATTGCATGTGGTACATGAGGTGGGACGAAATTGTGTACACAGGGTCCCAGTTACATCCAACAATTGCAAAAATATAAAGTGTAAAAGAAACAGTAAATAAGGATCTGCAATATGAACTAAAATATATGCCAGTCACCACTAATGGTGCAAAACAATACATCGAACAGCAGCAGCACAATTCTCATAGGTTCTGTTGGGCTATAGTTCGCACGCTAATGCGAGCGGAGTCGGGCTCGAAGCCCCAAAACTAACATAAACTGGGATTTATTCAAAGCATGCAACAAAAATACAGAAACAATGCACCAAAAGTGAAAAAGAAATGAATCTACAGCAGCATGGTCCTAAAGGCAGAGTGGTTCTGATGTTTGAGGTTATCTTAATAAATAGACTGTACTTATATATCACCTTTCTATCTGATCAAGACACTCAAAGCACTTTACAACACAATCCGTGCCTCATTTACCCATTCATACAGCACTCTACTAGATCTATACAAAGATAATTGAACACAACATTCTAAAGAGATTAATCAGTGCTTTATCACATTCATACACCGATGGGACACAAATCGGAGGCAGTGACAGTGTCTTGCCCAGGGACACTTTGGCATGTGACTGCTGGTGGATTCAAACCCCCAACTCTTGCATTGGAGGACGACTGCTCTAACCGCTCAGCCACAGCCGCCCATGGTCCCATTGGCACCATGGTACGGTTAGCGGCGTGGTGTTGTTAGCAGCGTTAGCAGGTCTTGTTAGCAGCTTGATGGTAATAATGACCGCAGCAGCTGCCCTATCAGTATCAGTACCAATACCGGTTTCCACCAGTTTGTAGAAACGCTGGGAGGAGCCTCACCTGAAATCACAAACTGTTCTGCGAGCATTAGCTGCAACAGTTAGAGCGGCTGAATGATGGTGGGATTTTCTTTCCACTAAATGTTGCTGAAATAATATCAACTGGTGTTTGTGTTTCCTTTCACAGACCTACGTGTTCACTGATGGAGAGGATGAGAAGCTCAGGAAAAGGATGGGTGAGCTACACACACAAACACAGGTTTTTCGCTGAGTAAGGTGAGTTTTATCTGCAGCCGACTGCTGATGGGACATTACTGTTTCCATCAAGTGCAGGAAGTCACCTCAGTGTAATCAACAGGTCTTCCCTTTGCCTACTCGTTTGATTGTTAAATATTCTCCTTAACAAAAATGTATTTATTGGGTGCTTTTATAACGTGAACGAACATTTTACAATCTAGACAGTTTCCTTTTAAACAAAAACACATAACTTTAGTGCTGTAAGCTCAAACTCTTAATGTAATTAATCATCAGGTGCACATGTGATCAACACCAACTGCTCAGCAGCCCACCACCGCCAGGCCCTCTCCTGTAAAATGGCTCTGGAGTACGACACTTTTCTAAACTCGGGAAAGAAGTGAGTGGTGCACCACACGCTGCAGCTCATAAACACAAAGACACTGACGGACAGTGTCGTCCGTCGCAGGTGGTTCTGCCACGTTGATGACGATAACTACCTGAATGTCGGCCCCCTCCTGAAGCTCCTGTCTCAGTACAGCCACACGCAGGATGTGTACATCGGCCGGCCCAGCCTGGAACGGCCGATCGAGGCCACGCAGACGCTCAACACCAATGAAATGGTAACTTTAAAAAAAATGTTTAAAAGTACATTTATGTGGCACTTCCTGAGTCACGTTTTCAAAGTGAAGTTTTCTGTCCACACTGGCCTCCTGAAGGATAAATCCTTGTTGTCTGTGTGAAGAAACAGGTGCGCTTCTGGTTCGCCACAGGAGGAGCGGGGTTCTGTCTGAGCCGAGGCCTTGCTCTAAAGATGAAGCCCTGGGCAAGGTAAGTTGGTGCTTGGATGCATTTATGTATTTACTTATATTGCATAAATGATCTTTTTCCTTCCTTGCGCTCTGTTTAGTGGTGGTGCGTTCATGGCCACAGCTGAGCGTATTCGCCTGCCTGACGACTGCACAGTTGGCTACATTGTGGAGGCGCTGCTTGGCGTGAGCCTCACCCGCTCAGCGATGTTTCACTCCCATCTGGAGAACCTGGCACTGGTGTCAGACATACAGAACCAGGTCCACACAATGATACAGACAGACTGATCGCAGGCACTGTTAGCCGTCCGCCTGTCTGATCCTTCATGTTTGTGTTTCTGCTGCTCATCCATCAGGTCACTCTGAGCTATGGCATGGTAGAAAACAACAGGAATGCTGTTAATGTGAAAGGACTGTTCCCAGTTACAGAAGACCCCACCAGGTAAAGTCTCTAACAGTAGAGGTTCTACTTTGTACTTTAAGGGGAAAATGTGTTAATGAATTAAAAGACAGCGCAATTTAAAGGCTTGAAACATTTTTTGAAACAACTGTTTCAACTCTGTTACTAATTATTTATCTATTCAATAAATAAATTAACTATAGTAGTCCCTCGATTATCGCGGGGGTTATGTTCCACACCACTGCGATAGGTGCAAAACCATAAAGTAGGAACCCTATATTTAGTATGTATAAATATGTTAAGGCTTTATAAACCCTTCCCCCACTCTTGCAATGTTCTAAACTGTTAAACCTATGTAATTTTAACATATGTATATGTACTGTACAGTACTGCAAAATTTTATATGGGTACTCACCAGCTCTGCAGACCAGCAGCTTGGTTCCAGTTCTGCAGATCTACCCTGCATCGACGAACCCACCGCCCCGTCCGGGTGGATGTGCACGTGAATAATTGAGCTTCAGGATTATTTGCGACTTTCCTACCAGTTCTGTGAGCTTCATAGATCGATCGTTACTTCTGACTTTGAGTTGCAAAACTTTCCCTCCATTTCAGCAGAACGCAGCGGCCAGAAGCACTGTTGGCTTCTGGGTAGTGTAGTTCTTTTAACTGGCATTACAGTGTAGGCTTATTGAAAGAAAACTACAAAATGGCGTTGCCTGTCTGAAGTGTATATATACTTTTTCATTAATTTTTTTCTCATACCTTCCCAATCACGTGAATAATATTAAAGTTGACAATTGTTGAAAAACCACGAAAGAGCGAGTCCGCAAAAGTCGAACCAGGAAGCAGAGAACGAGTACTGTATTTCAAATTAAATATCAACAAAATTATAACGTCTAAAAAGAAATCTGAGTCAATATACCCCTGAGAAAATAGTTCATATTGTGTAATAAACTTTAAATCACCCCTAATTTAAAGGAAACGCTTTCATGTAATCTTTTAAAGGTGGTTATGATGAATATTTTTTGGGCTTTATGGTGGTTTATTGACATTTTATTTATAAAGCAATTTAAAACAACAACAAGACCAACCAAAGTACTGTACAGCAAAACAAACAAGCAAATACAGGATAAAATACACAAATCCACAGAGGTCAAGATAAGAAATTAAATGACTAAAAAATAAAAGCGCAGTGCAGTTTAAATCAACGCACACTGTATCAAAATCCAGAGAATAAAAGTGAGTTTTTAAACGAGACTTAAAAGCAGTGAGAGAGGGAGCCTGCCTGACACGTGGGCGGTCGTTACAGTTTTGGACCTGCAACAGAAAAGGCCCTGTCACCTCTGAGCTTGTAGTGTGTGTGATCAGCAAAGTGATCAACGTTGCCTAAATAAAAAGAGAAAAGTGGAGAAACGAAAGACAAAAGAAGTGTCAGATCTTTAATTAAATTAAAAACTATAATCTATAACTGATAGAACAGTATGTGAATGTAAAAAAAAAATCCAGAAAATACCTGACACAGGACCTGTCTAACACCAACTTTGCAGCAAATAGTTCGTAACACATCACATGTAAGCTCACATTACAGACAAAAGAAGAACAAAAACAGAGTTTTATCTTTCTGACTCCTCTTTGTTCCGTCAGTCACTCTTGCTTCAGACTCTGGTGCTGATGAGAGAAACATGCTGCCACCTAGTGGCGAGAGCGGTGCAGAAATAAATAAATTCACTCCTAAAACACTTGTTGTTCACTTCAGACCAACAGATTTAGATGTTTCAATTAAAAAAAAAAAACTAATCTTGTTGAAAAAAAAACGTGTTTTGAAGTTCTGCTTTATGAAAGATTTTTTTATTTTTTTATTTATCATACTTGTTTTATTACTATGAGTTTCCTGTCTTTGTTCATTGTGCTTTTGTGTTGTATTTAGGGCTTTATTTTGAAATCTGCAGTTGGTAGCTTCCAGGCATTGTGACGCTTGTTTCCCTCTTGTCCCAAGATTCAGGTCTGTCCATTGTCTGTTGTACCCAGACACCCCTTGGTGCGCCGGCCTCTGGTGACTCCAACACCCAGAGACAAAGGAGGTATAAACTGATGGAGGGGAGGAAGAGAGAACATGTCTCCAAGGAGACAGTTGCAAAGTCCCGCACCTCTCTGTTCTGAAATGTTTTTCCTTATGGCCAACAACATTCCCACTGACTGACTTTTTAGGAAGACACTTGTATTAGCTTAAACCCTGACCTCTGACCCTATGGAGTGTTGCTTCGCTGTGAAAAATCCTTCTTTTATTACACTGCCTCCTTTTCTATATGCAGTGAAGTTAACCAGTCAGGATCACATTTCATGAGACTGTTACAGTGAAATGAAGGATTTATGGTTCACACGCTAGCTTTTAGCTTCACTGAGCAAAGTTTAAATACATCTTCACCGAGTTAGAAAAGACTAACTCAGAAGTTTGATCTCCTTGTGGTTCATTCTTTATCTGATTTTTTTTTACATTTTGTTTCTAATATTTGCACCTCATTTGAAAGAACAGACATCAACAACAGTTTCGGTGCGAAGCGACCAGGCTGCATGATTTTAGTCCTGATCGTGTTGGTATGTTTCTATGATACAAGCAGATTTCTGTAAATGCCATGCTATTTAAAAGCTTCTTCAAAGCCTGCGCTCCCAAATGTTTTGCAGTTAGACTGCACTTAAAATGTCGCAGCAGTCCCCCTTGAAGTTTTTCTGAAAATGACTCATGTTGAGTTGGATTCTGTCTCTGCAGTGGATGATGGTTTTGCCTTCATTGTGCTGTGAGCGCTCTCCAGTATCTGGATTGTATGTAAACATTTCGTCTAATAAAGACTTATAAATCTTTTTATCTCTCTTTTCTGATCAATTGCTTTCTGTGTACTTTTTATTTCGGTTCGTCCTTTTGACCTCCCTTCTTGTTTCTGTTCGATTCATTGTGTGGATTTCTTACTTCTACACGCTTCATCCTTTAAGGTGCAAGTTTCTGTCTGTTATAACCTCTAGATGTGAATCCAGGCAGGACAGACAGGAATTTTTAAATTTAAATTTTAGATTGCTTTATGTACAATGACACCTGCTGGCAATAAGTGTAAATACACAACGTGAAACTGCAATTTTATTCTATATTGTTAATTTGTTCATACATGAACTAACCAGCTGCACCAGAGTAACCGTTTATTTTGTTAAAACAACATTTTCTGCTGAAATATAAATTCTGCAATCCATCTGTGTAGTGTTCAGTAACCAGTGTCTTCACAAGAGGACTGGATAATCTGATTTTAACACGCAGCGCCTCAAACTCTTTAAGTTAACACGCACACTGCACAGCTGGTATCACTGTGCAACGTTAACTAGTCCCTGTGGACACAGTGCACAACCTGGATGCTGATTTGACACACAGTTAAGTTACAGAACTGTATGCTTCTTTTTTTTAAAGCTTCAAGTTCACATTTTTAAACTGATAATCCATGGAAAGTTATAAATAATGAATGTATTGCCAGTTGTAGATAGCTGTTGGAACAATGTCAATTGAGAGAATTTGGACTGGTTTGATGAGGTAGCTCAAGGTCCAAGCAGGGGTGAGACCAACGTGAACTGTCAACTCCAAAGAAGCAGCTACAGTGAAACTGGCAATTTTAGCTGCTTTTTGGAGGTTCTCAAGCACCCCAACATTTTAACTCAGCACCCCTGAAATTTTAAGAAACCATCATTACCACTTTGCAAAGAAACTCAATTCTCAAACTTTAGATTCACCAAAATATTGAATACATTTGGAATAAATATGGCATAAATTATGACACTTCAACAGGCCAGTAAAATCAGATTTTATATATATATATATATTTTTGGACAAGTTGGATCCTTGATGCCACCTGTTAATCAGTCCAGTAGGGTCATCAGCAACTGACCTATCGGCAACCTCAATTTGTTCCATAATGAAACGCCCTTTACCTGCAGGAGCTGGGGTATGGGGTTGTGTGAGAGAAGCGGAGCACTACGTCTATAGCATGTTAGCTAGCGGCGTGTTTGTATTGTGTGTCACAATACAGTTGTTGGCAGTTTTGACCGGGGGTGGAGGGTGTTAGGATGCGTGAGAGAAACAGAGCATGCTCTATTCACACAAGGGGAGCTGTTGGTCAGGCTACTTCTTGTTGTGCCATTAACTCTACAATTGTTTTTGCCCCTGCAATGAAACTTGTGTTGGAATATGTGATGCAAAATGACAGCAGTGTAAAGATTTATGAAATAGTGATCAGATGGGCTGCTCTGAAGGGATTTCAGGGATTAGTAGTTTGAAGACTACAACATTCCACTTTGGTCTTCCCCGACTCAGACTAGCTGTTAGCTTGTCAGTCTGGTCAGAATTAAACTTTACTTCTCCAAACTGAGCTTGTTCATACTTTTGAAAGTTGGGTTCTGTGGCAACATGAATAAATACTGTAATATCTTGAGCTATCTGTAACAGGTAAGATGTATTGTTGATAACCTCTCCACACACCCTACATCTAAAGATCACTTTAAGGTAAAACGTAGTTCTTCTATCATGGCTATGTCATAGACCGACGTTAACCAGAGTTGGTATTTTGATCAAACTGTAGTAAATGTTAAATAGCTAAGATGTTTTACACTAAATATCCCAACTAAAGTGAGACATTTATGGACTTTGTGTATTTCTGCGTAAACCACCTGTCGTTGTTTCCTTGATTGTCTGAGCTGCAATGAGCGATGATGTTTTTTCACTGCACCGAAAACAAAGCCATCACAAAGACAAAAAGAAAAAACAGTCCTGATGAGTATGTTAAAATTGTTTTAATTCCATTTTTTTTAAACATTTACTCTAGGCTGAATATCATTACCACAGTTTTGACATGTATATAGTTAATAATAGTTAAAACCATCAGAAAATAAAAACAGCAATAGAAAACATTGTTTTGTCTGTCACAGCTGGACACAGGTGTATTTGAAGTCCTGTTGAGTGGCACACGCATGCACTCAAACACACACACACACACTCATACACACAAATATTACCACGGTTCACAAAAATGGATTCACCGCAGAACTTCAAATACATCTTAAAGTCGTGTGTACGAACTACACTGAAATAGTCTGATTATTAAAACAGCAAGACAGACAATCATTCACCATTAATATGAGAAGAAAATGCTGCTCTTGCCATTATTCTCCTACAAAACAGCTAGCTATTATTTATTTTTAAAATCTTTTGTTTTCTTACAAGTGAGAGAAACATAAAAAAAAACATGTTGTGGGGTATGAAGTGTTTTAAGAGCTTAAAAACGTTACGAAAGGCCGCTAATCAGTGACTTGTCCCACAGATCTTAATGGTTGCATCAATGTTGCAAGAAAACACTGAAAAGTACTAGATCAGGGCTATTCAACTGGTGGTCCGGGGGCCAAATCAGGCCCACGGGTGTGCTCAGTTCGGCCCACCAATGGGTTCATTTTTAAATAGAACTCGATTTTAAATCGTAAAACAACCTTACTTAATGACAATAACTGCTGGCTGTCCGGCCCCTGAGCTCTTGGTTTTAAGTAACTGTGACCCTCTGAGACATTTAGTTGAATAGCCCTGACCGTAGGTAGCATCGTTACCATAACAACATCACACGTGTAAGGTTGTCTCGCTAATACGAGAAGTGGTCATCGATTAAACGTGTAAGAATGGCTGTTGAATGTTAGGGCTTTGCTCACTTTGCTCGTGAAACGCTGTCACTTCTAACTAGTGTGAGGAGAGTGTGGAGTTACTACAGCTCTAAATGCAACAAAACGATGGATTTGAAGTGATCCTTGGATGTATGAGTGCATATAGGTGTGCGTTACTGTGTGTGCAGCGGCGATGTAGACATAACTCGGGTTATATAGGCAGCCAGTCAGACACACTGATCAACCGGACGCTCACAGAGTTACACTGAGATAGATAGAGCCAATCACGATGCAGAGAGGTCGCACACACAGTTTTACTACTACTAGTTTTGTACACTGTGCACAGAGTGTTTAGAGCACGAGGGGAAGCCACTGGCAGTGTCCCAGGCAGTGAGTTTGAATTCTCCAGCTCGTAAAGTCGTCCTGAACAGAATTTGTGCTTCAAGTGGTCAAAATTAAGAAAAAAAAAACTGTTAAGTGGAAACCAGTTAACTTAATCAAAGCTTAAGAGAAGACACAACAATATGGAGTAAAGAAATGAAAACTAAAGTTTGTCACAGTATCACATTCTAAATATCAACTTAAAGTGGTAGTTCAGATCTTCAGAAGTGGGGTTCTGTGGAAAGGTTACTTCTTATAGATAGATGCAAGGAACCTCAGCTTGGAGAAATATCGTTTAGTTCTGACCAGGTTATTGAGCTAACAGCTTCTCTGAGCAGGATCAGGGCTAAAGCAGATGGATGCTATCCTAAAATAGCTTTAATCTCAAAATTATTTCAGTAATTTGCGTGAAGCCATTTTCATAAACCTTTCCACGATTGTCAATTTGGCTTTACACAATTATTTACTTAAAATTCTAAGGTTATTTGCAAGCACAACCAGCAGCAGCAAGTTGTAGTATTTCCACTGCAGCCTGGGCCACTTCCTGCTTTCCTGCCAGATTATCATAATATTTCAGCCAAAAATAATAATGTAGTGCAAAGTGGAATGCCGTTATAAAGTTTATAAATAAAGAGTTTCATTAACTACTCTAAATTGTTATAAATGTTTTAAGACAGCAGCAATCCACTTTTGTCTTAGCATCACTAAGCTAGCTGCTAGTTTATCAATCTGGTCAAAATTAAACAGTTTATCCAAACTGACGCCGGTCAAGGAGCCATCTACAACAGGTAAGATATTATTTGATCATACCGTTTCTAAAACCCACACATTAAATTATCACTGTTATCTTTTTAAGTAAAAAAAAAAACATCCAAAAAAACCACCACCCAACGCTCTTATGGTTTTTATGTAACATTGTTTGTTTTTTTCAGGTTTCGAGACAATATTTACTTTCAGGTTTTGAAGTAAATTTGTTCTACTTGTGTTGCTTTCTGTGTTCCTTATTACATTCCTAAAAAAACTAAACAAAAAACTAACAAAAACATAAAGTAACAGTAATGTTTCTTTCCATCTCAGTCCTGACCTTTTGAGGTCTTGACACCTTTGTATAGCACCTTACAAATGTTAAGTCACAAATAATGTGTCCCATTGTTTCCTTTTCAAGTCCTTGTTCCATCATCGTTGACAGCCACAGGGGAAACACTCCGTCTGAGCTTTATTTCCCTTTTTTCAGTCATCTGGAGGCAGTAGGAGATGACGACAGAATCAGGCATCCTTCATTTTATTTTCCAGTTTTTTGGCACGTGGAGCCTTCTAATGTCACTGGTCTCTGACTCCATTTTCCATTTGAGAAGCAGTTGTTTCACAACTTGGTTCCTGGCTCATTTTCAAAAATGTGTGTACTGTATGTAAACAAGTATGAAAAGAGACGTGGACGCACTTTTTTTTTTTTTTTTTTTTTAAATCTCACAATTCAAGTCTTGTAAATGTGAACGTGGTGGCACAGTTCGTATCAGTTCCTATCTAAACATGGCTTTCTGACTCACTGGTTTGTTTTGTTGTAAGCGTGAGAGTTCAGTTTGTTTGTCCGCCAGTTGGTGTCTGTGTGTTCGTACAAGAGAAACGTCGAGAAAGTTTTATATTAAACACACAGCACATCACGTAACCAGTGAGGATTCGACAGGCTATTTTTAATTAAATCAGAATAAAGCACATGTTGACTATTTACAGCTCTGTACAGCAGGCGAGTGTGTGTGTGGTCTGAATGTAAAAGAGACTGAGTCGAATACTGATAAGTACTGGAATGTCAGCGTACAAAGCGGGGAGGGAAATATCTGACAAACAGAAGCTTAAATTGTGGAGGCTCTCTTGTTGCGATGCATTGTGGGTAGTGGAATGAACAGCTGAGTGAAGACATTAAAAGAAGTAGGAATAGTGACCTTAAAGGATGATTATCTTCCTCTAGGATGAACTGTAGGTGAGAAGTCAGAGCTGAATTTCAAAGTGCAGTCATTCGCGTTGGTTGATGAGTTCCATTGTTTCATGAAGAAATGGTGATGAAGTTCATCTTTGATGAAGTGTGCTCCTAAATGCACTTAGTTGAGCTCTGGCATGAGCGCTGAGTTGGGTCTGGCGTTTGGCTGTGAGAACAGGACTGAGGCAGTGCCGAATTGAAGTGGTCTCTAGTGGACCGAGGACTGAGGTCGGGCAGCGGGGTGAGGCCGGCTGGCAGGATCCAGTTGGTCGTTGGGAACGGAGCGGCGATTCTGCTCCGGTCGGTTGGTGGCCAGGTACTTTGCTCTCATACTGGAGGTGTACTGGAAAAAGAGAGGAGGCATAGAAGAAGAGAGGGAGCACAAGAGAGGAAAACGATGAGCAGTGAGGAGGACAAGACAGATAGAGGAAAAAAACAATGATGGTAAACGATTGGATGGATAGGAAGATAAGATAGATAAGATAGATAAGATAGATAAGATAGATAAGATAGATTAGATAGAGATAGAGATAGAGATAGAGATAGAGATAGAGATAGAGATA